AATCCATTGCTCGCAATACAATGCAATACAATTCTCTGGCGCAGTACATTTGCAATACAATTGCCCGAACTCTATTGCAACACCCTCTTTCAGTTGGACTCCCTTTTGGGTCACCCAAACTACTGCGCGTGAGTTTGACCTCTCGCCCGAGTGGCTTTGTGGCGTGGGCCCCGCGCGGGGCCACCCGATGTCTGAACGCGATGATGCGATACAAGCGACCTGCGCGCTTGAGTTTGGTCCCTCCTCCCTCTGTGTCCCGCCCCTCAAGCAGTGGCGAAGCATCCTGGCTCGCCTATAGGCCCACCAAATAATGTTCTAAGAGCCTTTTGTGGTCTGCACAACATGTTCTTAGAACATTTCTGGCTGGGGCTGTCTTGTTTTAGCACATCGGGTCTATGTTCTAAGAGCATGGTTTTTGTTATTACAGCATTTTGGGGTTCTAAGAACACGTCGTGGTAGGCCGATGGGAATGCTGGGACGGTCGGTCCCTGCGCCCCCCCCAGAAGCCGTGCCGCCGCCGAAGGGTATGGTTACGCTGGGGTGTGGTTTGCGATGGGCACCGTCGGGGCCTGGGGGGCACGACGCTGTCCTCGCCGGGCCTCCCTGTGGCGCGGGAGGGCTCCATCGAGGTCCCCGCGCGCCCCCCAGGGTGCCCCCCAGGAGGAGGAGGAGGAGGAGGAGGAGGAGGAGGAGGAGGAGGAGGAGGAGGAGGAGGAGGGGGAGGAGGAGGAGGGGGAGGAGGAGGAGGAGAGAGGAGGAGGGGGGAGGAGGAGGAGGAGGAGGAGGAGGAGGAGGAGGAGGAGGAGGAGGAGGAGGAGGGTTCCCCAGGGTGCCAGCTGCAAACCACACCCTTTGGGAGTCTCGCCGGCCTGTGCCCCCCCCCCCGAAGCCGTGCCGCCGCCGTCGTGGCGATATATATTCGCCCTCGCCGCGGTCGTCGTCGTTGTCGGCCATCGCCCGCCGTCGGAGAGGCCGGCCGTCGGCTTGGTGGTCGCCTGTGTGTGGTCGCGGTCGTGGTCGTGTGTCGCGGTCGTGATCGTGTGTGGCGGCGGGCGTGTGGTCGCGGTCGTGGTCGTGTGTCGTGTGTCGTGTGTCGTGTGTCGTGGCGGGCGTGGTGTCGTGGTGGGCGTGGTGTCGTGGTCGTGGTCGTGTGGGTCGAAGGATCGCGCCGCATCGCCGGTGCATCGGCGATGCGGCTCGATGTGGAGCCCGATTGCCTTCACGTCGACGTCGCCGATGCATCGCCCACGTCCACGATGCATCGGCGATGCGGCGCGATTCTCCGACCCCATCTACTCTGACGCCATTTGGGAGGCCTCTAGTGGTGGGCGTGGTGGTCGCTTGCGTCGTCTCTCCGGTGGCCGTCGCTGCCGTCGTCCCGCTCCTCGTGTCTTTTTGTGCTGTGCACGCCCGCGAGGGCAGGATCGGTGTGAGTCCGGGCGCGCGAGCACAGGGCTGCCGGAGGTTGCTGGATGTGGTCGTGGCCCAGAATCGGCGGCGAGCGAGGGGGGGAAGTGAGAAAGAGGAGGCCTTCTCAGAAGGCGGCGGGACGTCCCAGAAGCCCTCGCGCCTTCTGAGAGGTCTTCGTGTCTCCGGGGAAGGCTCAGAAGACTTTTCAGAAGACTGGGGGACTTCCGAGCCTTCTGAGAAGGCCCGCCCTTTCTCACTTGTAGCGTCCTTGTCCCGGATAGCGGAGCAGCCCACAGCGCCAGAGTCGCCTCTGGGAGACGCCTGCACGGACGCTTGGAAGGATGTCTGCGGAGCCTGCAAGTTCGAGAAAGAAGCTTCGAAGGAATTTTCCTCTCGGCCGCGCCGCCGACAGGAATCGGCGTCACCAAAACATGCTAATTTAATGTGAACGTCGTCCCCCTCAGGGGCGACGCGCGCACCGAGAAATCTTATAGTATACGCGTCGTGGCGGGTGCTTTCTGGCAACACCGCTCGGGAAACGATATACTACAAGATTGGTATACTATATGTTCGGGTCGGACGCGCGCCTTGAAGGAGGACATCTAGTATTAGTATATCTCTGCGCGTCCCAAGGAAACTTCCTGGGTTGTCGCGCCAGTGGGGAGCCTTCGACGGGTACTGCTGGGGACCCGGTGATAGGTCGGTCGGGCATGTCCCCCTACAAGCGGATTTTGAATGAAAAAATGAAAAATAGTCGAGACACATTCAAAGACAATCAAGCATAGCTCAAAGAAATGTCCCCAGAACATGGTTTGACTATTGCGAAGGCCTGACGGCCGGTGCCGCCGACCCTGAAGAGGACCACGACGTCGGCGACGAAGTGGGCGGAGACGGAGGCCGTGGAAGATGAGGAGGAGGAGGGGGAGGCGAGGAGGAGGGGGAGGAGGAGGAGGAGAAAGAGGAGGAGGAGGAGGAGGAGGAGGAGGATGGTCTGACTGTTTCTCAACATTCCTCCTGTAGAGGGCCAGGACCGGCCCAAGCCTGGTGACGAGGGGGTGCTCCGGAGGCCACCTGCGCCGCCCACGGGGAGAGCGGGTTGGCCACCTTGGGCCGGGGGCGCTCCTGGCCGCGCTCGCAGCGAGCTGGAGCGCGGAGAGCTCGTCGTCGTCGTCGTCGTCGTCGTCGTCGGCGGGTCGTCGTCGTCGTCGTCGTCGTCGTCGTCGTCGTCGTCGTCGTCGTCGTCGTCGTCGTTGTCGTTGTCGGCGTCGGCGTCGGCGTCGGCGTCAGCGTCGGCGTCGGCGTCGGCGTCGAGAGAAAGAGAGAGAAAGAGAACGGAGGTAGGGAGATAGGGAAAGAGGGCAACAACCTGAGGCCTCACAGATGGGGTCAGAGTAGATGGGTTCGGAGGATCGCGCCGCATCGCCGATGCATCGGCGATGCGGCTCGATGCTGATCCCGATGATCTCCACGCCGACGTCGCCGATGCGTCGCCGGCGTCGCCGACGCGTCGCCGGTACATCGGCGATGCGGCGCGTCCTCCAACCGCACATGCTAGGACCCCATCTAGGAGGCCTCGGGAGATGGAGAGAGAGAGACAGAGAGAGAAACGACAAAAAAAGATGCAACAACAAAAACAGGCACCAAGGGGAACTCGGAGAACACGGGGAGAACCAGGGGCACCTCCGAGCAGCGGGCAAAGCAGCCCTGCGAGGCACCAGCCTGGAACCGAGCGGGAGCCCCGTAGAGGCAAGCCTGAAAGTGGGAGACAAAACTGCACCCGGCAGGCAGCACCGCGGGAGAGCACGCGCAGCGCTCCTCCGAGAGAGGGCCCCGCCTCCGGGGCGCGCACCTCGCCGGCCGGCGGAGGCCGGCGGGGGGCGGGGGCGGGAGCGGCCACGGCTCGGCGGGTGCCGCTCGGACGGAAGCCTGGCAGCGCCCAGGAGGGAAAGAAGCACACAGACACAATTCATCGTCGACTCCCCAGAAATAATGGCAAAATATGGGAAGTGGGAGGGAAGATAAAAGCCCTGCAAATACGATGAAAGATGGGGGATATGGTTATTTGCGTCTATTTATTCGTGTGTCCCTGTTCCCCTTCAGTGTTCTCGGCGAGGACCATCGAGGAGCATCTCCTGGATCATCGGGAAGGAGGTATCGAAGAAGAAAGCACGGCATACGCATAAAACTTTTGGCGCTCCGCACGGATTTCTGGGACCTGCGCTGGGCCCCCCTGGCGGCGCCCCCGGCGCCGCCCATGCAGGGGGGTCCAGCTCAGATCCAAGACATCCGCGCAGACCGCCGAACAAAAATGTTTTTGCCGTTTTCTGTTCTTCTAAGAAGCACGCACAGAATCGAAAGATGCATGGGGAAGTGACGGCCGAGCGATGGGGAGGAAGAGGGAAGAGGCGAGACGCCAACAGGTTTGGGTCTGGGGGTTTCAACATCGGAGGTGTAGGCTTAAGTCGGGCCTGTCCCTTTACAGAGGGGAAATGCAAAAATAATCAAAAAATAGTCTCGGGACGATGTGTTGACCGTTTTTGAATCTTTGTTTTTTGCTATTTCTGATGTTTCGTCCAGAGTCCGCCTGTAGGAGAACATGCCCGACCTAAGTGTAGGCCGAGGAGCACAGTGCGACACATAGACGGGCCGAGGCATGAGATCGAGGTCGGCCCGGGGAGGCTGCCCTCTGGTGTTCTGCGTGCTTGTTGGATGGTCTGGGGCATCCCGGGGAAAGCGCCCGAGGATAATCTGTGCTTTTTGGCCCACGGGGGGTCTCATGCTCCTGAGGGGTGTTTCTCTGGGTGCGCGCGTCTTCTGGGAGCTCCGTGCGGATCTCTTGGATCGGTGCTGTGCCGCCCTGCTGGCGGCGCCTCCGGCGTCGCTCCAGGCTCCGCGCGCCGCTGAGGGGGGGGGGGGGGTCGGGCGCCGAGCCAAGAGCTCCGTGCGGGCCTCCGAGAGGGAGTGGTTATGCCGTGCTATGTCTTCGTGCAGTCGGACCGAGGGGCCAGCTCGAGCGAGGCCGGTTCGGGGAGGTACCCTTGGGTTCTTCGTGTGTGTCGGATGTTGTTGTTGCATCCTGGGGAGGGCACCCTCGGATGTTCTGTTTGTGTTGGCCGACTTAGGGGTCTCATGTTCTTGAGGGATGTCATTCTGGCCTAGGCCCGATTTTACATCATATGAGCGACGCACAAAAAACACGAAGTCGTCTGTGCCGACATTGGCCCGTAAGCTGCCCGCGTAGAGTCGCGCGTAAGCGCCCTCGTCTCCAGTGTGGCGTGCCGCGCCAGCGGCCCGCATAAGCCGCCGCGTAAGTTCGCTACGTCGTCTCGCGAAAGACAAGTTTCTGATCGTCGCCCATATGGCGGGGAGAAGTCGATAATTCTCAGGACGTATGTTAGTTAGCCCAATGTGTGGTTGCGCCGTTCAGCCCCAATGGTAGCACGCAGCTTGTGCCAACCCGCATTCCACTGCCTACGTATTGAAAGGCATCGGCGGACAACCACACGTTCGTGACAGGAAACGTTCTGAGGACCATCGAAAAAGATTCGGGAAAGGGCGGGCGTCGTTCCTGGTCCTCCTCCTCCCTGTGCAGCCATTTTGGCTGCAGGAGCGAGGAGGAGGCCTCCTGCACGACCCACGCGCCGGCCCGCACACCGCGCGAGCCATGGGCGGAAAGAAGAGCTACCAGAACTATGGCAAGACGTTCCGTAAGCCGAAGCGCCCCTTCGAGAAGGAGCGCTTGGACTCGGAGATGAAGATCGTCGGCGAGTACGGCCTGAAGAACAAGCGAGAGGTGTGGCGCGTGCAGTACGCCCTGGCCAAGATCCGTACCGCGGCGCGCCACCTGCTCACACTGGACGAGAAGAGCGAGCAGCGCATGTTCCAGGGCGAGGCGCTGCTCCGCCGCATGATCCGCATCGGCCTTCTGATGGAGAGCGAGAAGAAGCTAGATTACGTGCTGGGCCTCACCAGCGCGAAGATCATGGAGCGCCGCCTGCAGACCAAGGTCTTCAAGCTCGGCCTCGCGAAGTCGATCCACCACGCGCGCGTGCTGATCCGCCAGCGTCACATCTCGAGGAGGAAAAATTGCATAAACACGCACTTTCGGAGGTCTGCGCTGATTTCTCGGATCGGAGCTGGAACCCCCTTGGCTTAAGTCGGGCACGTCCCTCTACATGGGGAATGTTCAAACATAGTTAAAAAAAATAATCCGGGGATGATTTTTGTTCTAGTATTTTTGCGTAATTTTGGTGCAGTATTGATTTGTCGTCCAGAATCCGCCTGTAGGGGGACATGCCCGACCTAACCCAGGGCCGCCAGGGAGGCCCAGGCCTGAGCCGAGAGAAATCTGCACGGCCCCCCAGAAGCTTGCATGCTCTTATGCCGCCTTCTGTTCCTCGAGTATCCGCGTCGGCAAGCAGATCTGCAACATCCCGTCCTTCCTGGTGCGCCTCGACAGCGAGAAGCACATCGACTTCGCCCTCACCTCCCCGTTCGGCGGCGGCAGGCCCGGCCGCGTGCGCCGCAAGATGATGCAGAAAAAGGGTGGCGACAAGGACGGCGACGACGAGGAGGACTGAGATGGCGCCGGGGGCTAGGAAGACAGGGCAGCGGCCGCTCGAGATGGCTCCACGCTCCCATCCTTTTTGCTCTCCTCTCGGGGGCTGCCAAGAGGAGGGTGGTGACCACGAGGGGAGGGATATCATGGCCGCGGCCACTGATATCCCCCTGTGCTTCCTGTCCCCTCTCCTTCTCTCAGCACTCAGGGGTGGCCTAACCGACCCCTAGCAAACCACCACCCCCTTCCGTGACGTCCCCCTCGCTGCGCCCCAAGACGTGTGTATGCGGTCCCCCCCTTATCGTCCGCGCCCATGCCTCGAGTAGGGGATCAACTACAGAATGGATTTACCCCCAAATTGACTTTCTCGTCGGATCTACGAAAGCTACGTGGAGTGAGATGATCTACGAGCACTCCACTCTTTCGCCATCATTCGACGAGCAGATCAATGCTGGGGTGAACCGATTCTGCAGTCGATCCCCTGCTCGAGTGCCTCCCTGGTCCTGCTCGGCGCACCTGCATACTGGACGCCCCCTCCTCCTCCTCCTCCTCCTTCTCCTCCTCCTCCTCCTCCCTCGTCCCTCCTCCCTCCTCCCTCCTCCCTCCTCCCTCCTCCCTCCTCCCTCCTCCCTCCTCCCTCCTCCTCCTCCCTCCTCCTCCCTCCTCCCTCCTCCTCCTCCTCCTCCTCCTCCTCCTCCTCCAGCCCTTCTGGCTCCAGCCAATTTGGAGGAGCTTGTCGGCAGCGAACTTCAGAAGGGCGTTGCTGTCGCGAGTCACTTTGGCTCGGCCCGTCTCGGCGCGCGCGCATGGCCCCCGCGCCCTGGCAGAGCCGCCCAGCACCCCACCGCCATGTCAAGTGGAGGTGCGGTTCCTGTGGATGTGCGCGCAACTTGGGCTGGATGTGGCAGTGCAAGCGCTGCAAAGCTCAATGGAACGGCGCCACATGCTCGGAGGTCGACCCGCTGCGCCCCGCGGCTCAAAAAGGTGCTGGCGCTCGTCATCACTACGCTGGTGACCCTCGCGGCGCTCCGCTTCCTCCAGGTCCCGTCGGCGGAGGTGGTGGAGCGGGCTCTGATGGCATCAGCACCAAGGGCCTCAGCGTGGATGACCTGCAGCAGCTGGCCGCCATCGCCACACGCCGAGGGCAATTGGAGCTGGCCAAGCAGTACGACTACGCTCGGGCGAAGCTTCTCCAGCCATCTCGCCAGCAGGAGGCCTCGCTCCACACCCGTGCTGCGCAGACCCAGAGCAAGATTCGCCAGGTGGAGAAGAAGCTCGAAAATGAGATCTCGAAACTGTAGCGCTGGCGTGAGGCGACCGTCATGCGCGAGTCTTCCATCCAGGAGATGGCCGATGAGCTGGATGGCTTTGAGAGGCAGCATTCGGAGCTCGTCGAGCAGATCAGCTTGGAGGTGGCCTCGTCGGTGCCGCCCAAGCAGTCTTCTGGCCCGACCATCAGCCTGCGCGACCTGGCGGAGGGCAAGGAGCTCAGCTTCGAGCTCGTCGATGACCTGTGCGCGAACATGCCAGAGGAGTTCGAGATGTCCGCGGAGGATAAGGAGCAGCTGGAGGCGCGCAAGGCCCAGCTGCGCTCGGGCCTCAAGGACATGGCGAAGCAGCTCTTCGGCAAGGCTTCGTCGCACCTGGAGGCTGCTCGCCGTGAGCATCAGGAGCACCTCAAGAGGCTGTCCAAGAAGAAGAGGAGGACCGCGGAGGGCGACACACCTGGTGGCAGTGAAGGTGCTGGAGAACCTGGCCAAGGAGCTGGCGCTGCAGCGCCAGGTGGCGCTGAGCGGGCAACTTCTGAGGCTGGAGGTGGAGCCCCAGCCGCCTCACCTGGAGGCACTTCGAGCTCGTCGCGGCCTTCGGGAGCCGACCCTGCTCTCCGCGCCAGGCTCTCGAAGGTACTCTCATCTTCTGACTCTTCTTTTCGCTCCCCCGCCCCCAACGGCGGTGGGGGGGGGGTAGTGGCTGCTGAAGGCGAGGGGCCTATCCCCTCGAGCTCCTGCGTCGGCTCCCCGCCTGACCCGTCCCCTGTCTCGCGTGAGTGTAGTTTTTTGTGGGATTGGGGAAGGGTGGGGGTCCAATTTTGATGGAGCCAACTTTAGTTCTAGCTTTTGTCCTCATCTCTCGGGCCCAGGAGTCCCAGGCCCAGGGTCCAGGCCAGACGAAGACACTCTCGGAATGGTAATCGCCACGGCTAACTGCAACAGCTGGGGCTCGCTTCGTGATTGGCTTCCGTCGGCGGAGACCCCCCGCGTCATCTTAGTGCAGGAGCACCATTTGGCTGATCAAGATTCGATTGGTCGTGCTTCGAAGTTTTGTCTCGATCATGGGTGGAAGAGCCTGTGGGGGCCTGCAGTTCGGACGGCTGAAGGAGGCACGTCAGGAGGCGCGGCGATCCTTGCCAGGGCCGTCATGGGGCTCCACCAACCTCTGCAGATCTTTCAAGGCCGTGCTCTGGGTGCTGTTGCTCATCTCCCAGGGGGTGTTCAGTTTGGGCTCGTCTCTGTCTACGGGTTCGACACGGAGGGCCTCGCGGCCAGGCAGTTGGAGCTCTATAAGGCTATAGGCTCCCATGTGGTTCTCGAATGCCTCTCGTACGTCGTTGGGGGCGACTTCAACCTCGAGCCCCCCGAGCTTCGAGATACGGGTTGGAGCTGGCTAGGTGCGAACTTATCTCGACTGGTGCGCCCACATGTTTCGGCGCTCGTCAGTCGGACTGCGATTATTTCTTCGTTTCTGGAGGCTTGGCCAGAGGTGTGAAGCAAGTGCAGCGATGCGGCGATAGTGAGTTCTCGCCGCACTTCGTGGTGGAGCTGGAGTTCTACCCTGCCCTCTGCCGCCTGCAGGCCTTGGGTTTCCGCAAGCCCCTCCCTCTCCCCGTGGGCGCCCCTGCGGGCGTTGCCCCCCCCCCCAGGTGACTTCGGGAGGGCCCGCAGGTTCCTCGAGTGGGGAGAGAAAGCCTTGAGGTCCCAGGATGCCAGCGAGGTCCGGCGTCTTCTGAGCAAGGCCTATCAGATTTGGGCCAACGAGACTGAGGGAGAGCTTTGTCAGAGGCTGGAGGAGGAGCTTCCCTGCCGTGGTTCGAGGGGCAAGGACCCCCAGGTTTGTTGGAAGGCGATCCTTCAGAAAGATGTCAAAGCTAGGCGGTGCCCAGAGCTTCGTGCCATGAGGTGGTTTTGTTCCAGGTTCCGTGCTGCTGCCCAGCTTTTACCCGCGGTCTGGGCTGGTCAAGCCTCGACCTTCACCAGGCGCACCGTTGGCGAGCTGCTGGCGGGCGTGCTCCAGTCCGAGTGGGTCCCTGGTCAGCTGTCCCACCAGGACAACATTTCTCTGTTGCAGGACATCAGGGACTCGCTCAAGGACTGGGATTGTTTTAACCCTCCTCCCCGCGTTGAGCTGGATGCTATTTTGAAAAACTTGGTTTCAGGACGCGCCTCCCCCGCCCCTTGCGTGGGCGAGGGCGGGGGTGGCTCCTCGCATGTTGCCAGGGGCCCTTCTCTTAGCGAAGCGGAGAGGCCTTCTGACCAGCTTGCTGAGAGGCTTGCTAGGCTGGAGGCCCTTCTCGCGCGCCAGAAGGAGGTTCTTGCTGCTTGCACGAAGCGCTGCCAGCGTACGGCTGGTCAGGACTGGCACGCTTGGTTGACGGATAAACTTAGTCAGGGAGCCCGCAATGCCCATTGTGCGGTTAAAGACCCCCTGTGCTGGAAGCCCACTACCACCCTCTCGCCGGAGGGTCAGGTCGTGTCTGATCCCCGACAGTTGCTTGACGCTGAGGTCAAAACGTACTCGGGCCTCTGGCAGGTCCGTGTTTCGCCCCCGAAGCTCAGGTGCAGAATCTCTGAGCCCCTTCCCCCCTGGATGTGGAGTTCTTTCGGAAGCTGGGCAGGAAGTATCCTAAGAAGAGTGCCGTGTCCTACGACGGTTTTCACTTGAGGCATTTTCAGTACCTCAGTGATGCCAGCCTGGAGGTGCCCAGCTTGATCCTCTCGCTCGCTGAGCGCTCGGGCATTCTTCCGACCCAGCTCTCGGCAGTGCTGGAGGCTTCGTTGGCCAAGGAGAAGGGGGGTTTTCGGCCGATCGGCATTTTCCCCTCGGTGTACCGCCTCTGGGGGCGGGCCCGCAGGCCCCTGGCTGAGGCCTGGGAAACGCGTTTCTCCAGAGACTACTGGGCCGCTGGACGGCACAGAGGGGCTATGGATTGTGTGTGGCGCCAAGCCTTTAGGTCGGAAGCTGGAGTCAGACGAGGTGCCTGCTCAACCACAGTTCTGTGGGACATGTATAAGTACTATGAGCTGATCGACCTCGAGGCCTTGGAACTTAGAGGTCGCAGGCATCAGTTTCCTCTGGGAGTCCTGCACATGTGTCTGGCGGCATATAAGTCGGCACGATGCATCTGCCTCTCTGGCATCATCTCTGGCCCTCTGAGGGCCACTCACGGCATTATCGCGGGCTGCAGCATGGCCACTTCCCTCATCCGTGTCCATGCCCTCGACGCCTTCGACACCGTTCCTCGTTCGCTCAGCCTGCGCCGCATCGATCGGGAGTCCTCGGAGTTTTCCTCTTTCGACGCCTACATCGATGACACCAGCATCTCGGCTATCGGTTCCAAGTCCTTCGTTAGAGCTGCCATCCTGAACATGGCCTCCCTGCTGCTGGCGGGTATCAGGCAGATGTTAGGCGGCCGTGTCGCCCTCGACAAGGTTGCCCTAGTGTGCTCCTGTGGTGCCCTGGGCCAGCAGCTGGAGGCTGATCTTGGCCCCTTCGGCGCACTGGACACCTCCGCCATCAACCTTGGCTGCGACGACGCGGCTGGGAAGTGTTTCAGGACGGGCAAGGGGAGGGCGAGGAAGCGTCAGGAGAGGAATATCAAGATGCAGCGCAAGGCTACTCGTTTGAAGCGGTTCCGTTCTCACTTTGGGAGGAAAGCTATCAAGGTGTTCTCTGCTGGCCCGTTGCCTGGATATATTTATGGACGTGAAGCCCAGGGCCTCACGGACGGAGAGGTTCACAGTCTTCGGCGTGTGGCAGCCAGCTCCATCAAGCCAGATGCCGCTCGCAGATCGCCGACGGTGCTGTCGCTCATTGAAGGGGGCCCTGTTTGGCACGGCTCGGTCGCGCCCGTGCTGCGCTACATCAAAGAGGTCTGGCTTCTCAGGACCAGTGCCTTTCCAGGTACCCTGGACTGGGCTACTATTCGGGCTTCCTGGGAAAGCGTTTTCCGCAGTCGTCAGCAACCTGTCACTTGGAGGAGCGTCTCGGGACCGATGAGTGCCATGTTCATGAGTCTCAGGAGGATTGGATGGGATATGAAGAACATGGTAGTTTTCACTGATGATATGGGTCGAGAGCTCTCCTGTGCGCAGCTCTCGCCAGCGCTTTTCAAGGCTCTGCTGCGCCAGGCTGTGCTGCGCCAGCTCGAGAGAGCGGCCTACGGCAAGCTGGTGGACGGCGATCTCTTTTGCGGCGTTGGAGTTCCTCCGCCAGTGCCTGCCCAAGGCCCAGATGAGCCTGCCGCCGTGGAGTTGGCCCCCGATCGGAAGCCCCCCGACCTCGAAGGATCGGATCGCCTGTGTTTCGATGTCGTCGCGGCTGGTCTCCGCTCGAAAAATTCTCGGCTTGGGAAAAAGGCTCCGTTCGTGCCCTCACCTGCATTGCCTTGTGGGCCAACTCCCGTGCACTAAGGTATGGCTACCAAGTGTGCCCTCTGTGCCCGCTGCGTCACACTAAGGTGGATTCTGTCTTTCATAGATTATGGGAGTGCGAAGCATGCATGGGGGAAAGAAAGGAGCTGGTGGATGAGGTGGTCATCTCTTGGGCTAGGGGCGCGCGTGACCAGAACCCTGGGGACCTTGTGAACTTCTTGACGGGTGCCTTCGCGCATCCTGGCGACTATGTACCGCAACCAGTCAGCCAGCAGGACTCGGACGCTGTCAAGATGGAGTTCTTCCAGGAAGGTTTCCAGGATTCTGGCTTGGAATTCCAAGGGCCCGAGAATATTCGCTTTGAAGGCAGTTTGTTCTTGGGCGGCAGTTGTTTTCAGTCTAAGATTCGTGAATTGTCCAGAGTTGGCTGGGCTTTTGTGCTGTTGTCTGATCAGGGCCATCTCTTGGCCAGAGTGCTAGGGCCTGCCTTTTCTCACTTGCCGCAGTCCTCTCAGGCTGGTGAGTTCACGGCACTGGCTGCTGCTGGTGTCAATTTAGATGGGCCAGCGGCTCTTCTCTCGGATTGTGCGTCGGTTATTTCTGTGTGTTCCAGGGCGCCTCGGGACCGCCTGGGGGGGGGGGCATAGGGCCTACGCGGGCTCGGTCCTGGAAGCCTTCGCGGGTGCTGGCCCCCTCCTCCAGGGCCTGGTCAAAGTCGCCGCGCACAAAGCTGTAGATGAAGCAAGAACTTCTGCTCAGGAGGCTTGGCGGAGGACAGGTAACTTTCATGCCGACCTCGCGGCTAAGCGGGGCGCAAGTGTCCATCCCCATGCCAACCCTGTCGTCCTGTCTCGCGTCGAGCGTGAGATCGGGATTGCGAAGGCTGTCATCCTCTTGGCAGCCACGCTCTTGCCGCGCTGGCCGCGGCTCGACTTATCTGGCGTTCAATTCATCAAGCCCCAGGCTCCACCAGCTCAGACGTCGAAGACGCCCCACGAGTGGTGTTGGTCTGGGGAGTTTTGGCATTGCAGCACGTGTCTGAGAGGCAAGCGAGGTCAGGCGCGCCCAGCGCCTGGCCACTGTGTAGTGCCTCCCCGCCTGTGCCCGAGCCTCCTTGAGCAGTTCAACCATCTTTGTGCGTTGTTGGACTGCACGGACGGCTCTTTCCGCTGTATCTGCCGTCGGTGCGGCTCTTACAGCACAGGCGGCCGCGTCAAGAAGCTGGGTGAACCCTGTTCCTGTAAGAAGACAGGGGCAGGACTTACGGCCTGGAACTATGTAATCCAAGGCCGACGCCCACAGCATATCAAGAGGGAGAAGAACGTACAGTTTTTGCCCTCTCCCTGGACTGTGCTGTGAGGAGAGGCGGTCCCCACTCGTTGGGGGTCAAGCAGAGGTCGAGCGTTAAAAAAATCCTCCTCCTCCTCCTCCTCCTCCTCCTCCTCCTCCTCCTCCCCCTCCTCCTCCTCCTCCTCCTCCTCCTCCTCCTCCTCCTCCTCCTCCTCCTCCTCCTCCTCCATCCTCCCCCCCGCCTGGACGGTCCGACGCCCCTCCCAGCCCTCCCGCTCCCTCCCCTCGCCGCCGCGGTGCTGTGCCAGGGCTTCTGCTCCGATGCCGTGCTGCGTCGTGGCGGCCCACGGCGTGGGCCGACGGGAGTTCTCGACACCATGTCCCCGCTCCCCCCGTTCCACCCCCCACCCCCCGCCGCAACCGCTTTTTACTCGAGAGCCGGACGCCATTCCGCCGACCCCGTGAAGAGGCGGGGAGTCCACGGTCGAGGCGTCTTTGGCTTCTCGGGGCACCATCCGGAGGCTCTCGTGGGCGTCTAGGGTCTAGGGAGGTGTTTTCGGGGCGTGGCTGAGCCCCCCCCAGCAGACCGTTGTTTTTCTTATTATTCTTCGTATTATTCTTCTTCTTCTTCTTCTTATTCTTCTTCTTCTTCTTCTTTTTCTTCTTCTTCTCCGCCCAGGCTCGAAGACGCCCCCCGCCCCCCGCCCCTCCCCCCCCTTCGCTCGGTATCGTTTAACCAATCCCCATCCCCATCCCCATCCCCTTCGAGACCCCCACCAAATTAACACCCCAGTTGGGCGTACACCCCTCGAAACCCGAAGGGAACGACCTATATCCCCATCTAGGGGGGTAAATCGTCCAGTGGGGCCCAGGCCACACCGCTGGGGATGGGGATCGGTTAAACGATATTCACACGCGCCGAAGCTGTGGAGGAACGCGCTGGTGCCGAACGAATCGCAGCCTTCCTTCGGTGCCTTCCCTCTACAGCCGGACCGAGGCGTAAGATCGAGGCGGGTTCGGGGAGGGCATCCCTGTGTTCGTCGTACTTGTTGGACGCTCTTGCGCATCCTGGGGAGGGCACCCTCGGATGTTATGTTCGTTTTGGCCGACGGACGGTCTCACGTTCTTGAGGGCTGTTCTGCTGGCTTAGGTCCGACGGTACCCCTCGTCTCCGCGCCTCTCGTTCTCTCTCCCGCAGGCTGCTCCCGCCGAGAGGGGAACGATGCTGGGAGGAGGGGAGGGAGAAGGAGGGGGTGGAGGAGAGAGACTCCACCTCCTCCCCTCCCCCCTCATCCTTCCCCTCCTCCTCCTACAGAGTCGGCTTGGGTCAATCCTCGGGAGATCCTCCTGTTGGAGGAGGAGGCGGAGTAGGAGACCGAAGAGCAGGGCGACGAGGGGGGGAGGAGGAGGAGGAGGAGGAGGAGGAGG